TTACAATAGGTATTCTGAGGTTATGATTTGAATTAATGTTTTCCTTGTATCTAGCATCCGAAACAGTTAGCTACATAGCAACTATAAAACGATGAAGTCGGCAACAACATTATCAAACACAGTGTCAAATAGCAGTTATCGATTTCTCTCAATACAGAGGCTTTGAACAAAATATACAGTATCCAAAAAGATGAGGAAGTAGCAAATGTAGATGCACGTGAGATTGCAGCACTTGTCAAAGCTTTATATGCACAAGAATACTGTCACGTGCTTTTGTGGAATTGTCTAAAATAAATATTCTACATGCACACCCGTATACACATGCGCACATATATATAATAATCTAAGTAACTATAAAGAATGTATTTCGATGGTTTTAGGAACTATTGTAAACACTATTCCATTGATGTTTCGTCATTTCCTTCTTGCTGGCACTTTCTACAAAGCAGTGTTGAAAGCAAAGGTTGCTAAGCATAATGCGTATGCCACTTGTTTATATTTGTAGGGTTCTTGGACACTGAAATTTTTCCGAACTGCGAAGATATTCTTCATCTGAATACTTTCAAAGGAATTAACGTGCTCCTAACATATGTCTCATATAAAAGCTTTTGAAGGACTTCAACGTGCAGCATCTGCTTGTGATAAGCTTATCCATACACCTCTCTACGTATTTGATACCTGAGTACGATTAGTTCTTGGAGTATTCCCTCTATCAGGCGGATTGGTGCTAAAGAAGCCTTTTTACCGACCCCCTGAAGCCAGCCAATCGACTATCCATCAAATAGCTATTTGGAAGATTACGAGAACCGAAGCTAATGGGACCTGTCATCTCAATGGCCGTCACTACCTTAGACCACTTATTGCTAAACTACATATATCTCCCGTATTTAATCTAATGAAACATCCTTCCTAGCTGCAACAACGCACTTCTGATGGGTGAAACTATACCACGCGCGCGTATCTATTGTACCCACCACTCGCTTGTCAGACGTACTAAATTGATCGAGATTCGTGGTTGTGCAGCTTAATCAGCCTCTAGGCCTGTTCGAATATCCGTCGAAGTAAACTATTATCGTTATAGGTGACGAAGATTCTATTGCCTCTCTGTGGGCAGGAAATCTATGGTATGCCGATAGAGGGATTCGTTCTTTTCAGTCTCCGCTGTTTGTAGTTACGGCCGATTCGAATAAAGATAAGATGAAGGCCCTGCGCAAATCCGTAATGAAATATTTATTGTAAAACATTTAGATAATAAAATTTTTTTGTAAACTGACAAGGAATAAACGATTTTTTTCTGTAAAACGATACAACATTCGGCATCTTCTGTATTTCCATAAAGTTACCTAATGTCAGGAATCACACGTTTGTCCACTTTTCGGGTTTCAATAAGCCATTTTATCAAAAGTTTCTGAGTTTTGGTAAGATGTAATTTTGTTTTGTAATTATTAGGGTAATATTTTTTGTTACGATTATGGTGGTTTTGAAAATGAAAATTTCTGGCTTGTACCATTCCTTCGTTTTCTCTGAAATTAATTTCATATATTAATTGTGAATTTTTTATTGTAACTATACTAATGGAATTATTTGTGAAAATTACTATACAGGCCGTAAACCGTTTATCGATTTAAAACTTAATATACACATTTCTATAAGGAATCTATTTAGTCAAAATACATTCGAAATTGTGGCATTTCTGGCTATACCGCAGTCCCTACCTGCACCAAGAAAGTTTAAGAGTTTGTTTTATTCGTAAAGTCGCCGCAATTTTTTGCATACCCCATATTTTGGCATTCTGAACAACTTTCTCCTACAACTTTTTCAATTGAACCCGTATTTAACTGTGCTGCTATTATAAAACTTTCTTTTTTCTGTTTTTGAACACTGAATGGCGAATTAAATTTAGATACCACAATCAATCAAGTACAGTAAAAGCTCTTTATTAGCGGGGTATATGTACCATAAATATGCCGCGAATACAGAAACCGTGGACATGGAATGGTAATTAGTATGGAATCATGGGGGATACGTTCTAAGGTTCCAATATAAAACCAATATGTATCAGAATAAAATCAATTTATTGAGAAATTTGCAATTAAAATTAATCGTTATAATCAGCTTTAGACAAGGGTTTAAAAAAATTGGTGATTTTTTCTTGTTTTGAATTTTCAAATTAGTCCACTCGGTTACCTCTTTTATAAAAGCTTCCTCGGCACGTACCAACAGTACATAGTCAAAAGATGCCGATACATTAAGGGGATTCAGTAGTACACACNCCTATAACAACTTTTAATGATCAAATTATTGAAAACCGCGTCTGTACCGAGGTAGTGTGAACCTTTGTCTGTTACCATACAAAAAATCACATATTTATCTCGCAGCGTTAAATCACAATGTTTAGAATAGAAACCCATGTTTTCGGAAAAATTCACAGTAGGCACGAGCGGTCTATTGCGGTCAATCTCCTTAATAAATGACACCAAATTCTTTTCTGTTTACCGATTCCATCCGCGAATAATAAAATTCTTAGATGCAAATACAGGAACTGGGTTGCAATTTTTTCACCCGCTAATAAGGAAACCGTGAATAAGAAACTTTTACTGTATTAAAATAGGGAGCATGTTTTGTTTGAAAAATTGTTTTGTTAAACTTATAGTTTGGCCACAATGAGCATCATATTGCGTATTTTTTGGGTCACTCTGCATATGTATATGCACTTTTTTCAATTATATTAGTTAATAATTAATAGTTGTAGCTGCAATAATAAAACTACAACTACAAAAATTAAAAATATGATAAATAACAATTACTTACGATTTATATTTTTCAAATTCTGGTTGCTTGACTAGTTTTTCGAATGTTTCCAAATGAACGTGCATGAAGCCAGGAATATTGCTGGTTTTTACCTTCGGTGTACTGAACTTAGGCAGTTCCAAAAGGAGATCGAGATCATATTCTTCTGGCGAACCGACCTTTAATCCATCAAAATAACTTCCACCATAAAAGACCGTTGTAAAAAACAACTTAAAGAGGGGATCGATTTCTTTCATTTTATTCGTAATGAGAGTAACAACCTACGGCAATACATGTATAGATATTATGATTAATTTTACGAGGGTGGATTGATAAGTTTCCGGCCTGACCAAGAAAAACAAGGTTTTTAAAAATTTTTTTTTTTTATTTCTCAACATAATCTCCTCCAAGGCTGATACATTTCTCATAGCGGTGTTCCAGTCTATTAATGCCATCTCTATAGACTGATTCGTCAAGCTCCTCAAAATAACCATTTACAGCTTCGATTACNAATAACGTTTTTCTTAACACCTTTAGCTTTTTTAACAATTTGATCAATCGCTTCAACACAGTAAGCTTTAGCTCCGGTTCCATAAAATGCCTTAATAGGATTATTAGGGAACTCATCTTTGAATTTACCGATAACAGATGAGGTGATGGGGATATTGAAACTATTCTCGCGCGGATAATTGGAAGTATCGAAGTGATTAATATTTTCAGTAATGTCACGGTAAAAGTTTTCAGTGAACACTTTCAAAATGAAGGAATCGGTATCCATGTACATCAACGAAATGTTGTGTTGATATTTTCGTTTAAGAAAGGTATAGTAGAAGTCGTACATAACAACTTTTGATAAATCTAAGATAGTAAAACCAACGTAGAGAGGTTTATCGTAAATAATACGTAATTTATTCATCTGAATGGCTACGAAATTGGGAGTGAATATCTTAGAATTTTTGAAATTAGGTTTAGCTATTAAACTTTCGGCACCAAGAAAGCGTCCAGAATTTTGCCAATGAGTGACTAATTTTACATCAACTCGTTTATCAACGTCCTCCATTGTTTTTCCGAAAACACTATTGTTCATTAATTTGAAGAAGGTTTTCCCAAATTTATGTTCAGACAAATTACGTTGTCGGATATTTAAATCGATGAAAGGTTTAAGTCAATGGGACTGTTTAAACTGGATAACTCTGTGAACTTTAAGTAATTTTAGTCCATTGTGAAGGACTTGTTGAAGAGTAAGATAATGAACAAGATATTTTGTCTTGTTCATAAGGTTCGGTAACAGTTTTTTGACTTTACCTTTCATATTAGTAGGAGAGACAATGTTTTCAACTAAAAAGAAGAGGTCAGCATGTAAATCATGAAGGTTTTGGGGACATTCAGCATTTACTTCAAGTACATAACTGTATTCAGAAGAAGCATGTAAAGAGAGAACATTCAATTCATCAATTTCGACTTCGGTTAGCCAACGGAGGTGGGAAATGGGAAGTGGTTGACTCATATTATGTCCATACAAATTAATAGCTTCTAAATAGATAATGTAGGGGGTAAGGATGAAGGCGTTGTAATCGGGGAGGTGAGGGTTGTTAGCGAAATGCATTCTTTGAACGCATTGACTTATTCCTCCACGTACCCCTTTTGACCTTGACGTCATCGCCCAAAAAGGGTTCTTCGCAAATATTGCAAGAGGTAGCGTCGGAAAAGAGACGTATTTCTTCATCTGTCAGGGGTATCATGGCAGAAGCGTTCTTCAAGTATCGGTGACAATTACCGTAAACATTTTAATTGAGAACCCCTTCTATGTATTCCGTAATCATTATAATTTCTTTTCTGTTTACAATAACATTGGCTACATTAGGTCCACTTCAGTTTACGATCATGGAATTATGAGAGCCTACAGCTCTCACATTCTTTATATGTATGTCCGTCTACGGAATCAATCGTCTTTTTCCGACGTGAAAACTGATATTGTAGGCAAAAATGTACATCTTGTCAAAAAAATAATTTTTTTCCACCCACTTTTCTTAAGCACTTTATCCAATGTCAATACACATTTGTTGATAAACAATGATTTTCTGTTTACACATTGGGGCATAATTTTCATTGTGATAGGTACGTATAGCTTTTTTAACATGTTCAGTCGTCTAATGGACCTTGACGCGAGTGCATTTTCTTCGGCTGATCCGTAACTTAATACCAAACATAAACAATAACATTATCCCAAAGCAGCTGATTCCGACCTACTGAAGGTGAATTTTTTTACGATCAGCTGGCAATCGTAATTAATTTGCGGTTGTGCAGGGCCGGCATCAAAACTGTTATAATTTTATAATTTTTTATTTTGTTTCAAAAGTCAAAAGTGTTATAACATTTTATGTTCCAAATGCCCGTAGGAATCTGTGGTATAAATATTAATTATTATAACTGGGACACCCTATATATTCAAAAGACACCCCCTGAACATACTTAATATACTACAGAATTTCTTTATATACAACATTCACAGCTTTTTTGTCATTAAACAATAAAAACCGGCCTCCCAGCCGGTACCGCCACAACCGCTATGTCCCTGCATTTTAATTCTGTAATATCTTTGAAAATATTAATTTAAATTACATACTGTAAAGGGCCATATTGATCTACATTAGATTCATAATGTATTTAAGGTACTTAATTGGATAAGAATTAATTGTTTCTGTATTATCTGTATTGCTTAAAATCGCTTCGTGAATAAGCCATTATTTCTCATAAAAAGGAAAGGATAAAAAATGGTTATTGGGTTATCCCTAAGAGATAGACATACTATCGCGGAATATTTTGTAGACATCATTAGAAACCTCTAAAATTATCAATGTTTCTCTACTATATTATGCATGTATTATACATATAAACCTTCCTCTTGAATCACTCTATCTATTAAAAAAAAACGCATCAAAGTCCGTTGCGTAGTTTTAAAGATCTAAGTATACACAGAGACAGACAGCGGGAAGCGACTTTATTTTATACTATGTAGTGATATAATCTTCATCGACGTTTCGCCTTTCGATCTGTTTTATCAAGGCTATATTATAAATACATAGTTGATAAGAGTATAATACTTA